TTTTTGGTGTTTTCCATTCGTAACCCTAGTTTTGTATCAGGGACCTAGACATGACTTTCTTTTTTGGATGGATGAAGTAATGTTGGGAGCATAAAGACGAAATTGAAAATCGGAACTTGAAGGAGCTTTAAAGACAAAATCAAACATTGAAGTTATGCTTAATAATGAGTTGGGTTATGTTTTGTGGGTATTATTGTGTACAAGTTGTAGCTAGAATGTATTAGCTTTATTATGTTTGTGTTTTATGGTCCGGTATTCGGCTAGGTAGTAGTGTTTTTTGTAACGAACTTGTTTTGGATCAATTAAAATGGTGTTATGGTGTTTACTTTCTTGTGATGTATAATTGTTTTGGTTAATAAATGTTTAATACTAAGTTGTTATTATCATCCCATAACACAACCATAACATAAGAATCAAAATGACTAAAACATAACCATGAAAAGTAATATAACATAACATAACCACTAATATCCATACTACAACCCTCATAAGTACCTAATCATGAATTACATAACTATTTGTACTACCAAAACAATTACCAAAAGATCAGTGTACTACAACCATACCAATTACCTAAACATCAAATATACTTAACATTACATGAAAAGAATTCCATAAGAGAACCAAATTCCAATTCTGATTGTTTCCTTCCCCTTCTATTTTGTTTTGCCCTTCCTTTTTCCTTTTTGCCTTTCCACCATCACTACCAACATTTGGTCTTTACGCTATGTAGGTCCTTGCATTTTGACTTGCATTGTTATACTTGTTACATGTAACTGTCTTATAAGCTCTAAAGACTTTATTTCCTTTTACCAAATCCCCCATTTCCAAAGCTGACTTCTTCCTTTTCTTTTTTTGGCCTACCTATTATGGCATGGTGTTTTGGAGGCAACAAAGCAGTTAGGCAAGGAGACTTCATCCATATTGTCCTTCTATTGATTTGTTCAATTTTAAAGTAATACATTTCCTTCCAGGTTATTAACCAATAGCATAGATGAACAACAGTTTCAATAATACCTACCTCTTTGTTGTTTTCCCTTGTATCCTAATATGCAACAACACTGTGTTTGCATGACATTCTAGTCAATTCCCACTTCCTGCATGAACATAATTGTTGAATCTCATCAACAACACATTAGCCATTCTAAGGACCAACAACTTGGTACCTCTCATTACCACAATAATTAGCTACATATTTTTTGCCTCAAGCTTGATTTTTTTCCAATGTTTTGATGGTTGTTGGAGTCAAAAGGCTTGTAGCTTTGGTAATTTCCTTTTCCACATTCAAAATCTTCTTCATAATGTTCTCCCCGATGAACTCCAAGCACGTGATAATAGGTGTATCACGCCCCTCATCTAACTTACTATTGAAAGACTCACATAGATTATTAAGTAAAACATCACAATATGATCTCCATGTCATAAAAAGCAACTGAATAGAAATACATATTTCCGAATTATAGCATTGCAGCATATCAAATATATAAAAGTAGATAAATGTTTCCAACCTGTGAAGTGGGACCTAGTACAATGTTGAGGTGTTATCTTACTCAACCACTCAAAGCAGTCGTTATTAAACCTTCTCATTTTTTCCATACCTTTCTAAAGCTCTAGGACATTAAATGTAAGGGCACACTTCTAAATAATGTAATTGAAATCATGTCTTCTGCAATGCAATTTCATGTTTTTGTGTATGTGACGAAGACAATATTGGTGTTCCGCACAAGGAAAAAAATTTGTAATCATTGGTAGCAAACCTTATATTTAGCATCAACTAGTGTTAGTAACTAAATTATAACACCATGGATATCAAGTGAACTGAAAGTACATTTTGTCTATCAGTCATAAATGTGAAATTTGAGTTGGTTGTTAAACCTAAATCTTCCCATAAATGACTTAAAACCCATTTCCACGAATTTAAGTTCTCTACTTCAACCACAACATATGGCAAGGCATATACACCAATATTACCATCGAAAGCCTGTGAGAGGAATAAAATTAACAACGCATAAACATAAGAAGCACCAAAACACACATAAGGAATAAATAATTTACCACAACATCTAGTAGTTGACTCGGATATGATCTTTTGATGAAGTCACTATCAAGGCCTAGAAAGCCTTGTTTTCGTGCTACAAATTTGTTCTTCAAAGCACAAAGACAGACATATACACGCTTGAAGATTCTTGTTTCAACTTTTGGATTGAGTTCACTTTCAACATCAAGGATAATAGTGGTGTATGGGTTACAATTTTGTATGTCCAACAAGTAATCTCATAATAATGTGTATTGAGTATCATATTCACCCCTAAAAATTTTTAAGGTTGGTTCTCGTGCCCTAAATGCTTTCATCTTAGAAATGGCAACCATATACTTACGATGGAGTTGTTTCCTCAAAGCCCTAATAGGAACATGGGGGTTTGTTTCGATCTATTGTACATTGTACTTTGTTAGAAACTAGTAATCACAATGTATGACTGCCCTTGTTTGAAGACATTGATGTTCTTTGGTGTATTTTTTAACACTCCACTTAATGTTACATTTCCATTTGCTAATATAAACCATCCATAGACATTTATTGTCTTCATTGACTGTTTCTTGACTGGTTCCACTAGGACCTATACCACCTAGGGTATTTTTGTTATTTTCTCTAAATCTAATTCCCTTCTCTTTCTCATATGTATTGCATGTAGTTTAACCAAGTCATTGAATTCTTTTGAATTATTGAAAGTCTAACATATATATATATATATATATATATATATATATATATATATATATATATTAGTGGTATACATGTTCGATGCGGCGACGACGATTTATTTATTTATGCCCATTAGTTTTCGGCCGAAAACTACTTTCATCTCTGCGTTCCAAAAAAAAGCAAAACTATACTGTTACTAAAAATAATAATAAAACTACATTGTAGTGGATGTTCAATGCCAAGAACAATAAATACTTTTTTTAAGAGAATAGTTTTTCGGGTAAATATTTTCAAAAAGATATCTTATTACCAGTAACATGCAATGTTTTATCACATATTTTCTTTTAGGGTTTATAGTTTAAAAATTAACGGTCACGATTTACATCATATGTATTTAGTGGTATGATTGTAAGTGGTGTGCTGAATATGAAGATGGCGTGGGAAATTGTTTATTTAGAAATTGTTATATATATATGTATATATATATATATATATATATATATATATATATATATATATATATAGGTTATTTTGTTTTCACTATCTATTGTGTGTATGTATGATTGATTATGGAACAATCATTTTAGTTATTTTAAGAAAGTAATTAATGCATATTACATGTTGAAGATATAATGAATATTAATTACATCTTCAGCATTTAATATGCATTAATTACTTTTTTTAAAATAACTAAAATGATTGGTCCAGAATCAATCATACATGCACATAATAGATAGTGAAAACATTTGAACATAATTCTCTCTCTCTCTCTCTCTGTGTGTGTATATATATATATATATATATATATATATATATATATATATATATATTTATATAATTTTAACAATTTAAAAGTTTGAATTTATAAGAAAAATGAAAAAAAATTTTGAATTATTAAAATTAATGAAACTTCAATGTATTGAATACATTATCTATAGAAACTCTTTCTAATAAATACTTTACATATATATTACCTTACACATTAAATGTGGAATTTTAATTTAATAAAATAAAAAATACAATAAAATGACAAGTGAAATATAGAAATTTAAAAAATTTTAGAAAATGTCATGTGTTCAAATGAATGAGAAGAAGACATATGGCAAAAAAACCTTTATTTATTATCGTAGATATATATATATATATATATATATATATATATATATATATATATATATATATATATATATATATATATATATATATATATATATATAGGACGGTTCACTTGAGAATAGAAAAAAATTAGAGATCTTGAGATTAAACCTCAGCCACATATTTCGCATTTGCTGCTCTAGTGTTCCAGCGTACCAGCAGCAACGATGTATGCCTAATCATAAATGATTATATGGCAGAGAGGTATAATCATACATGATTATACATATTTATACATATATGCATAATCATAAATGATTATACATATATTTGTGTTCAGAGATTGAGTAATCATAAATGATTATTACAGGTAGTCGTAGAAGAGGTGGTGTTGACATAGGTGGCGGTGATATAAGTAATGGAGGTGACAATGGTGGGGTCGATTGGTGTCAGAGGTGGTGGTAGTGGTGGTGGCGGTGGCGGTTACGGTGGCGGTGGCGGTTACGGTGGTGGGGATGGTGGGGTCGATTGTTCATGATTTCAATTTTTTAGAAAGAAAATTAGTTCTTATAAATGAGTTATTTTTAGTTACATGAAAAATACATGCTCTTTGTAACCATATGATGGTTTGCATAAAAGCAAAAACATTTAAATATCAAACAAAACTTTTTACTGGTCTCAACCTTCACACCGGATTTCAAATTTATGGAGTAAAGAAGTAAACACATACACACACACACACACAAACATACATTGAAGTTTGTAACGATCTTTGATATGAAAAAGAACTTCTTATTGGTATTTTATCAAACACATAGAATGAAACGTCAAATTCAAGTTTTCCATCACCAAAATCATGTACAAAAGGATTTTGAATATCATTAGATTATCACAATCAAATACCACACAACCAGACACATTAATGAACAACAAGTTGTTGGTGTTTTAGTGTCACCATGTCATTTTATATAACTGGAACTAACATGTGGGCCCTGTGCACACATGTATGTCTTAGGAAAATTTGGTCATTCTATAATGGAACATCTTCTAGGCGCCATAATGTTTTCCGAAAAAACACGTTGTTCCAGTTCTTCACTCTTGTTTCGATCACTTTGAAACAAACCCAATTTAAAAATTCAGAGAGACAAAAAACCCTAAAATCAATTTTGCAGAATCGTTATCTTAGAGAATGTTTATTATTATGGAAGCCAGTGCTTCTTCTAAGATTCAATCAAGAAATCAAACAAAATCCCTAACACACATGCCATTTGAAGTAATGGAGAAAATAATAGTCGACTTGGCAAAAATTTCAGCAATCGAGGCTTTTAGGATGAAGAGTGTGTAAGTTTTTCCTTTGATCATTCTATTTCACAAGTGTATTTGAGATGTCTTTACATTATGAGTGAATATTATGTTTCGTTTGCAGTTGCAGATTCTTCAACGAGGCAGGAAAAACGGATGAAGTATATAAACATATGGAGTTAGATGGATTACAATTTCGTGTTTGGTCTGACCAGAAACATGAAGTTGTCAATAAATGCATAGAGATGAGAAACCCAAATATTCTATTCAGGAATGGATTGGTACGTTGTTGTCTATATGCATAGTAGTAATTAATTTGTTACTTGTTTTGCATAACTTTAACTAGAAATTATGTGTTTACTGTTTTTTTTTCAAATGAAGCTATTTTTCTTAGAAGCTAAACATGAGGGGAAAAAGATGCTTGAAGAAGCATCTGTATTGGGGAATTTGGATTCAACATTTGTCTTGGGAATGATGTTGATGGCTGAAGGGAGACATAGGAAGCAGGAAGCTTTGAACATGTTGAACAATGCTTACCGCAGAGCAAAAGGTAAGTGGAATCTTAGAGCAACTTGTTCTACGGTTCATGTCCACTTAAATAGGGAGAGGGGGAAATATGTACACTTCCATGGCTTCCATAGATCTTGTGCATTGCAAAATTCTGTAATTAGTGTGTCAGACGCTTTTGTGAATGGATACAGATGGGTGTTTATGTGTGAAATTTGTTTATGGGATGCTTGTTTCATTAGGTTTTCTAGGGATTTTGGTATAATTTATGAGTAGTTTGTTGATATGTATTTCATATTATGACAATTAATGCTATGTAGATTCTTTTGGTTTAATATACGAATATATAGTAATTTACTTGATAAGTAATTATTTGATGTTGTTACTTGATTAATAAATATGGTGTGTTGTTAACAAGGGACTAAAATAGTTAAAGTTTGGAATGATGTTTAAATAATGTTGGAATAATGTATTTTGGACTTTTAATATTAGTGTTTATATTGTATTGTGATTATAGTTGTATGTAGCAAATGTTTGTTCTTTCCTAGTATTAAATACATATAAAATACAATTGTAAAGGCATAAAACAAACATGTATTTTATTTTAGACTTGGTAATTTGGTTTAATATCAACTAGTGGAGAACCCATGCTTTGCATAGGGTAAAATTGTAAAGGAATAAACATAGGGACTAGAAGTGGCAACAAAGAAAAAGTATTGTGGCTAAAATCAAAGTAAAAAATGTTACTATAAACATAGGGACTAAAAGTGGCAACAAAAGAAAAGTATTGTGTCTAAAATCTAAAGTAAATAAGTTTATTGTTAAAATCTTGTTCCACTTTTAATATGTATATTAGTACATGAATATATACTAGTAATTTGGTGAAATGTTAATATAAATGTATTACATTATGGATTATGATATATATGTTATTTTTGTCTTTTTCATTTCAAACACTAAAACCCCTAAATCGTCGAAAGATAATCGTTCTCAAAAACGATTTTCTCCGATAATAGAGACTCATGTACTCCTCTCGACCAGATCATCATAAAGTAAGTTTTTTTCCATACCCTGTTACACTGTCTTTCATAGTTACGCTTAATTTAAAAAAAATTGAAATCAACTACTCTAATGTGTATTTTGTAAGTAGAATGTCGAATACTAGAAGTTTCCGTTCGTTAGATGATCTTCCACTAGAGCTTTTGAGTCGGATATCTGTAGTATTAGGGTCAGAATCTGCAAAAGACATCGTCTTGAAAGACTTTGGTAATTCTCAATAAACATCAACTAATGAATGTAGATTTGATGAAATAAAAATCTATTTGTTTGTTATTTACTGTGTATTTAAATTTTTGAAGTTCAAAGAAGATGTATGAAGCAGGGGGTGATCCTCAAGTGTACAGAACAACATGCATTGACATGTTTGAAGGAATGGGTCCCAAAAATCTGGAAGCTAATTTATTTATACGCACATGTGCATTGCATAATAACATTGAAGCCATGTTTAGACAAGGAATTATATGTGTAGTTTCAGTAATTATATGTAATCTATACCATTTATTAATATTTAGTGTCATTGATGTTATATATTGATATTGTTATTCTATCAACAGGATGATTGCTTTTATTATGACAATTTTGATTTCGGAATGACTTTGTTGAGACAAGCAACAAATGAAGATCATCTTGAGGCAATTTATTTGCTTGGAATGATCTACATTTCAAGAGGGCCTCATCAACGTGATAAAGGTATGTATATATGGTATATATGTAAATTAAATTATATCTATACTTAATTAAGGCATGTTTGTAGTTTGGGGTTAGTATTTAGTTGTGTTGTGCTGTATAATATTTACTGTTATATTGAAAAGGGTACATTAGATTAATTGATGGATATTTTAATGTGTAGGTTTACAATTACTTGATGCCTATTTTGGTTGGGTAGTTTCGGATGATGGGGAGTGCACGGGTGTTGTTGATAGGGCCAAAGAGTTGTTGCAGGCTGTTGATGTTGTTCATAGACTTACAACGAATAACATCACATTCCAATGTGAAGATCCATGTCATTCTGTTAAAGGTTCATTGGCAATAGGCCATGAAGAGGATGAGGATCGACAAAGATATTGCACTGTTTGTCATTGGTATTTAGAGTATGGTAGGTTTGGTATATTTCTTAAAACTATTAATGGTTGATAATAGAATGGACATTGAATATTAGTGTTCTTATTGTATTGTATATGAAGTTGTATAGTACTACTATAATTTTATTTTGGTTTTGTGTTTACATCGTTCTGTTAAAAGGGCATTTTAGTCATTTTTTCTTGCTATGTTGTTTGAGTAGGATGAAGTATACGTAAAACCCATGTTATTTTTGTGATGAAGTATAGTTAATGTAATTAAAAAAAGTTTGTAATGAATTCGTTATTAAGGAAAATAATCTACATAGATTATATATACTTTAACATGCCCGGTTAATGTAATTAAAAATAACTTTGTAATGAATTCTTTGTTAATTATTCATTATATACTCTTTTTCAAGAAATTATACACAACTTGATTAGCACAACTGGCTTAACCGCGCCGTTTTCTAGCATAAGATTAAGTTCGAGTCTGCTTGCCAGCAATATCTACTTTATAATTCATTTTTACATTTTTTTAGCCATTAGTTTATGCCACATATTACTAATTCAAAAACATTTCATTCAAACCATATCTTACAAATTCCAATGATCATAACAATAATTCATCCATAGTATAAAAAAATTAATTAAGCATACAACATCCAAACAAATGCCGTCACAAATTAGCTACGCGTATAGTTCCATAGCAAAACAAGCAAACGAAATCATATTCCATAGTAGAATTCCCAAGCAAATACTTAGGAATGGTACTTCCGTAACAATTCAACTATGGAATTGGTTTCCGTCACAAACTTTGTTGCATAGTAACCACGATTATGAATTCCATAGTAGCAGTACAACAGAAAGTGATTTAGTAACAAATGTCGTTGGAAAATTGCTACAATTTTTTTGACCCATAGAACTATCGGTAGCATAATACCAACGGATATGGAGTCGGTAGCATTTTCCCTAGCAACTCCCACTCTCGCTACCACAAATAAAATCCGTAGACAATGTGGTAGCATCGTTGCTATGGAACGACATTCCATAGCACGATCCATTGTAGATTAACAATGAAAATACATTACATAGCAATCTTCCCTAGCAAAATCGCGTTTTTCTTGTAGTGATATGTTGGATCAATTAAAAATTTACTTTTTCGATCCCCTACCCCACACTTATTACATACAATGCCTCATTGTGTGCATAAAATAAATTAAAAGCAATAAAAGGGAGAAAAAGGAACAGGCTCCGCTGGGATAGGAGTGGCATGACCGGACTCCAAATGTGAGGAAAATTGTGCATCTTGAATATGGACTCTTCTAAATAGGAGCTTGGATCTTGATCAAGCGAGATATGTAATGTGATGGAAAAATATGGAATCGAGCCTAGGTCTTCAACAAATGCGGTGCAAATCTCCAAAGCATGAAGAACAATGTAGGAAAGCACACACCACATTACATGGTAGAACAAATGATCCATAATAATCTTCATAATAACTCCAAAAAGAATGGTGGTGACCTATGTAGTAAATATGAATGAAAAGGCTTTAATTCTGTGAAAATATAAGACTCACAACGTGAGGGATAAGTATCACGACGTGAGGTCGCAAATATGTGCAATTTGGAAACCTTCGTATCCGAGTTCACGACGTGAGGGTAAAGACCTTGCGATGTGAGAGCTAGGCGATAGAAAATGAATCTGCCTATTCTTCTTCTTTAAATTTTTCTCTTCACCCCAATGTATCAATGGATTAAGACTCTTCAAAATGCAGTATTTCTATGACTCTTCTCTAACTCTATCCTCTCTCTCGACTCACCCCACACTTATTTTAAATCATGGGTCTCAACTCTTGATTCTAGACTCTTGGCTAAACATAAACGCTCTTTGTATCTCGACATTTCTCTCCCGTGACTCCTAGAAAATCTGGAATAACACCAAAGAAGAGAAAAACAACATAATAGTGCAATAGTTTTTCAATCCAAAAACTAAAAATAAAATAAATTAAATCAAACTAAAAATAAACGAAAAATCAAATAAACTAAAGATCAATCATCTTCTACATCTTCATGAACTCCACTTGTTCCTGCCCCATCTCCTCCACGGTTTTGGTACTCACTCCACCTTGTGCAAATTGGGTAATGATACCCCAAGTGAGGAGGTTGCTCAATATGCAAGTGTTGCACCAAATTCTCTACAGTCCCACCAACCCAATTAACACTTAAATACAATTGATCAAAATATCCTGACATTTATCCCCCAAAGTTGGCTCCTCCTATGGGTGCATTTTGTTGCACTGGTTGTCCTCTATCACCTCTTTCTCTCACATTCCTCCTTGGCCTCGGTTGAGGTGCAGGTTATTCTTGGTGTACCACATCATCATCTACCGAGATGCCCCAATGTGATCCCTCATTTGTTACTACACCATCGACTCCAAATAACCTATAGTAAGATCATCCCCAAATTTTCATGTCAAAGTTTGGGTCAATCGTAGAATAAGAAGACCATATGATCTTGCAAGGCGTGTAATAAAATGACCACCATTAATGGGGCTACCGACTCTAGAAATAGCAGCTTTACTTCCCAGATGGTTGGCTAAATGATACGGGATATTGCAGAAAACCCCCGACGTGACAATGCTCCAAAGGAAGAATAGATTATAGCTAGTTACTTTATCCCCATGTCGCTTGTGGTTGATGGAAAAGGCGATCAAACGATGAAGCAGTCGGTGGATCGGGGATCTAATTTGGCTCTCTTGCGAAACCTTGAATGAAATACTCCATTTGCAATGGAAACCCAAAAATTAGGTCCTGACGTGCCCAACAAATGTTCTCGTGCAACTGACCTCAAGAAAAGCTCAAATGCAGGAAATTTTGTTTCATGTTGCTCATAAATGCCTATTCGCCAAGCAAACTCTACTAGGTTGCATCTCCTAAACTCACAACTTAGGCGGAAGACCAGAGCCCTTTGGTAAAAAGGATCAACAGTCGATGCTTCAAAGGATACGGATGCAAAGAAATCCACACAAAGTTCTTGATAAACCGACTCATCGATGGAAAACAAATTCCTCCACCCGTTATAGGTGAAAGAAAAATTTTCTTCAAAGAAGTTCTTTGTTAAGAAAGGACTCGTTCTTTCCATCAACCTAATTTGCTCAAACCGGTCCCAATCAATTCTCGGGGAAATAGCAAATTCCCTATTATGTAACCATCCTAGTTTATTGGTGAAATTGGTGATCACTGTGGTAGGCATATCAACGAGAAGTCGGTACAATGGGTGTTAGGATGATACATGGCCTTGAAACTATTCATTTGCACCCCTGGAAGCCATTTGTCTGCAAAAACAAATAAACAAGAAAAACAAAACAAATTCCTCCACATGTTAGGCAATTTAGCAGATTACAGAAGGCTTAATCCCAGGGCTCACTTCGTGAGTAGCGAAGCTCACGTCGTGAGTTCGTTGCCTTCAGCGAGAATCGGTCACATTAGTGTACAAATCTAGCTAAACACTTTGTTGGGGTTTTATGCTAACTTGATGCTAAGTACATTCATCCCACATGCAATATATAAATCACAATTTTAGGGTGCAATTTCAACATTTAACTAATCATAAACCCTATCCGCTAACTCAACAAATTAGTCAAAATTGAAAAGTGGAAGTAAGAGTGGTTTACCTTAGATTGTAGTTTCGTAAGCACAAAATATGGATTAAAGTAGATTCACCCGAAATCAAGTGTTTGGGGGACCAAAGAATTGTCGCAGTTCGTGTGATTAGAAAAAGATAGCTCAATGCATTCTGATTTCTTTATTCTAGTGGTCCCATGTTTTTGTCTTTCTTATGTCGTGAGTAGCGACCTCACGTCGTGAGTTGTCATGGGCTGATAAGTTGGGCCATTTAATTAACAGGAAGTGGGCTTTTACAATTATTGGGCTAAATGATTGTAGTCCTTATGTTCTTGAGGACTCACGTCGTAAACAATACGTGCTCACGTCGTGATTGCGTTTCTGATCAACTTAATTTTCAATTCTTTTTATACTAAAACCCAAATTTAATTACCACTTAATTTAGGGACCCCCACTTAATGTTTTTACCATTCATAAAATTACTTAGATTATGAGATGATTAATTTTCCTACAAACTAAAAGTTCACAAACTAAAATGAAAAAGAAAATCAAACCTGGCTCGGGTTGCCTCCCAAGAAGTGCTTCTTTTTTATGGAGTCGTGAGTCAGACTCCATGCCTCTTTACGTTGAGTCGTCAGAAGAGTCCATCAACAACCAAACCTTTTGCTCCTTCCATCGCCTTTTGTAAGCTTGAACTCGTCGTTTATACGCCTTTTTCGAATTCCCCTTTTTAGCTTTAATTTCATTTGCATCGAGCTCTCTTTTGGTACCTTTATTTCCTTGTAAGCTGCTGTCTACTTTTTCCTCTTCCTTCAGGTTTACAGGAACCAATTTTTCACTCATAGCTATGTTTCTTTCTTTGGAAGTAACCTCGTCCTCATCCTCATCACTCAATAATTCGTCGCATTCCTCGCTTACCCAAGAAGTTGGATTTGTATATGCTATCACTTCAAAAAAGAATGGAATTGATGCTCTTGGTTTTGTGCGTTTAACTTGTTGAATTGTCTTTAATTCTTCTTCCATTAACTTCTCCCACTCTCCAAGTTCATCTGCTTCATCAATACTGAAAACCTCACCTCGAACAGCGTTGCCTTGGAAACCATCTACTATTCCAAAAGTTTCCCTTCCATCTCCGACTCTCAAAGTGAGTCTGGACTCGTGAATATCAACCAAGGCACCAACAATATTTAGTAAAGCGCGACCAAGAATAATCGGAACATCGGGATCTTATTTCATATCTAAAACCACAAAGTCAATTGGAAAAACGAATTTCCCAATTTTCACTAGAATATCTTCTACAATGCCCCAGGTTGTGTCACTGAACGGTTTGCCATGTGAATTGTCATTTTTGTAGCCTTCAACTTCTAAATATTCAGCTTCTGATAAAATGAATAAGACATCAAATTTATGCTAGCCCCAGAATCAGCTAAAGCATAAGTATTCATATTAT